GTCCAGGACCCGGGGGACTTGGCACGGGTGGAGGCTTGCCAGGCCATCTATTCAGCAGCCTCCTCCGCCTGAATCAACTGGGTCAAGAGCTCTGGCTTGGCGGTGGGGGACTGGCGGCAGGTGAGCTCCCTCCCACCCGTGCTTCAGACCATCCGGTGGAGCGCGGGTCCACTGCTCTACCTATGCGTTTACATTTCTGCCACGCACCCTTCTCTGCCGGAGAACTGGCAAAATTTAGAAGGCGGGATGATAGAGCGGCTCCGGAAATGGACGAGGCTACTCCGATGTCTCTCCTTTCCAGGGAGAGCACTGGTGCTTAACCAACTAGTCCTGTCCACGCTCTGGTACCGGCTCAACACCCTGGTCCCGGCCCTGGGTTTCCTGACCAACCTCCGGACATCGATTCTAGAGTTCCTTTGGTCAGGAATGCACTGGGCCCCTGTTGGGGTTCTTCATCTACCCCTGAAGGAAGGACGGCAGGGCCTGAAGTGTCTGCACACTCAGGTCCGTGTCTTCCGCCTCCAGGCCCTGCAGAGGCTCCTTTATAATGCAGGTAGTTCGACGTGGAGCATATTGGCGCACACCTTCCTGCGCTGCTTCCAAGGGCTCCGATACGACCGGCAGCTCTTTTATCTTTGTCCGAGAGGTTTTCCGCGAGACCTCTCCGGGCTGCCAGTCTTCTATCAGGACCTCCTCTGGACCTGGAAACTGTTTTCAACGACCAGGTCCGAGGCGGCCGTGGGAGCAGATCACCTCGTGGAGCCCCTGCTACACAACCCCCAGCTCCGTGTGCAGGTGGCAGAGTGCCGCTCGGTGCGCCAGAGTTTGGTCCTGGTGGAAGTCACAAGAGTCGGAGACCTCCTGGACTACGACCGGGGAGACTGGCTGGATCCCCTGACGCTCGCTCAGCGCATGGGGCTCTCCAGTCCTCGTACCCCCCGGTGCGTACTTCAGGAGGTGAAGACCGCCTTGACGCCCGCTGCTCGGGCTTATCTCAACCGAGCCCTGCACGAGGGTGCACCACGCCCACCCTCTACCCCAGGCCCATCGGACCTTTCAATTGGGCCCCTACCCCGTAGATCCCAACAAACCCCTCACCCTTTCACTGCGAGCCAGCTGCATGAACTGCAGCCAGTCAGCTTCCAAATCGCGCCACGGAAATATCTATACACATTCACGCTTCACACCCTTCACGCCCACACCCTGGTGTCCCATCCCGATACAAAGTGGCAGGACCTCCTGCCACCTTTGGAGGGTGAGCAACCCCGGTGGGCCAGCCTGTATTCCACCTTGGTCCCGAGGCCCGTTGGGGACATTAGTTGGTGGCTCCTTCACGGAGCTGTAAGCACGGGCGTGTTTTTGACATGGTTCACCCCCATACTGGATACTTGCCCTTTTTGCACCGTGAGGGAAACCCTGGCGCACGTATATTTAGAGAGTGGCAGGCTGCAGCCCCTTTTCCGGCTCCTCACAAATATTTTATTACGCTTTTGGCTACACTTTTCCCCTCACCTTTTTATCTACACACTCCCCATCCGTGGCCCCACAAAATTGCGAGATCTCCTGGTTAACCTCCTCCTAGCCCTAGCTAAAACAGCCATTTATAAAACCAGAGAGGGGGGAGGTTGGCTAATGAAGCGTCCTGCGATTGTAGGGCCGTTTTCCAATCCTCAGTACATTCACGTATCCGGGCGGAATTCCTCCGGGCAGCGTCCACCGACTCCCTTGACGCCTTCGAGGAGCGGTGGGCACTGTCCGAGGTTCTCTGCTCGGTGACCCCGTCCGGTTCCCTCCGTCTGACCCTTTGATTGAGGGGAAGAGCGAGAGACCCCAGCCCCAGCCGTTGCCGCTGTGGTTACCATCATCACTGTCACCTAGGAGGGGTCCTATCACAGGTGGTGTACGTCCCCCCCACTCCCAAACCGCCCACCCCGCAGCCGTGCCCATCTGGTCGGGCACGCTCAGGAGAGGGATAATCGGTGACACTGGGCGTGGCACTAGGTAACTCGAGGGGATGGAAGACCATGAGTGTCGAGGAAGCCCCCCTGCTCTAGGCCACCAGGTAACTCAGGAGGGTGGAAGACCACGTGTGTCGAGGAAGCTCCCCTGCTCTGGGCCCAGGCTTGCCTGAACACTTCTCCCTCCTGAAGGCTGCTGTGTTATACCTTGTGTTTGCTTTTGTTTTGTTGCATAGTTTTGCTTTATCCTTTTTGGTGATTTCTTGTAAGTGTTACACAAATAGAATTCTTTTCTGCTTCAAAAAACACTCTCCTGCTGCCCTGTGGCCATGCTGTACCACAGTATATTATTTCATTAAAGAAATAACTGACTTAATGTAACTTGTATTGTTCATGATTGGGCTGGGCAGAACAGGACATACATTTCTGGTGGTAAATTTAAGACAGAGGGTGTGTTGGGGGTCACCCTGCAGTATAACCAAGGCTGGTGAGAGCCAGAATGTAACCCAAGTGTGGCTGGCAGGCTGCAGTTACACACAGACACTCAGGGTGTGGCTTGCATGCTGGAAGGCTGCTTGTGAGAGGCACAAGTGGAACTCCTTCAACAAGACATTGTAAGGCACCCAAGATTGCAGGGGAAGGGTGACGCAGCTGCTCATTAGTCTAGACTGTAGCCTGGTATGTCACAATGGGATTGTCATATTGTTGGACGACATGGTTTGTAAGAGCAATAACATGCTCTTCATCCCTCTTCAGTGCAGAGACAAGGACTTGTTTGTGGACTTTGTCTTCACTACTGTAGTAAAGAGAGAGAGGCGCCTGGAGCACTAGGCCTGCGGAAAGATCTGAGGCCTGAAGCATATCAGCAAAATCAGGTCATGCCATGAACCAAAGTCAGGGCATGTATTAAAGCAGATGCTTACAATTTTACATGACCTTGACAAAGGTCTTGCTAGTGTTGCCAAAATGCAGGTGCTCCTAAGAAGCAACAGACATTGGGTATGTGTGTGAACACACTCCAAAAGATTAGCCCAGGTACCTCCTGACCTAACACAAAATAATATGGTTTCACTGAAGTGATGACTAGGGATATTTAGCCCAAGACACCTGGAGCAAGATACAAGAGGAGGTAACAAGCAGACATCATGAAAGACATGAGGGGGTACCTAAGTTGTAGTCTATAAATGTCAGGGTACTTCAGTATAACCCTTTGTGTGGCCTAGGGGACAGCAGAGATTCATGCTGCTGACTGAGCCATTCCTTGCAATGGAGAACTCGTGTGTTAGTGTACCTGTAACCACGGAGGCAGGGCACTGGTACTGTGCCATGAGGACAATAAACCTGGCCGAGTGCCTTTGTCAATGAACCGTACCTGTGGTCTTTCTTTATGAGTAACATTGAGGTGTGCTGAATTAGCAAGCTGTGCTATTGTAACCCACATGCCTAATCGGGAGATATCTCTTTAAGAGATCTATTGGGGAGTGAGTTGCGTCTGGGTCATTGTTGCTAGGCAGATGCATAAGTAACACTCAACAACTAGAAGTTTCTGGAATTGTATGGAGAAGAACAAACCACGTTCAGCACTGTGTTAGCGAACCATGACTAAACCCGCAATACGAGCTCCATGATGAAAGCACAGTCTTTTCATCGACAGTTTGTCCCGTGGATTGAATTGAGTCAAGTCATGGAGTGAGTTATTCCATACAAGAAGTGTAACAGAATCAGAGCCATTGTGATTATAATTGACAGCATCCAGGGTTTTCCAACAAAACGATCTGACCTCACACAAAATGAAGATGAAATCAAAGTGTAGGACATTTTTGATCAATTCTTCATGGTTAGAATGTAAATTCTGTCTCCTGTCCCCTGCTGTCACTGTTTGAGTTTCCCATGCTTATTGTGTAATTAATGGGGGGAAGAAAACAAAAGCAAAAAAATGTGTTCATTTTCCACTAAGTAAACTAATTAACCTTAAGTATTGCTTTAGTCAGGAAATACAGACTTTTCAAAGGACATCAAACAGGAAATGTTTAGTTGTAACTGGTATTGAATAGGTGCAGTTGTGCTGAATTAGAGCATTATCAGTGGATTCCTACATTTTTTTCTGTTAGATGAGATTTGCTGTCGTGCAAGTGACTGTTAAGTTGGCTTTCACAATGAAATAAAACTGCTCCAGTGAAAGCACAGCAGCAGCTCAGCGTCTCACACATGCAGACGCCCACCTCAGCATGGTAACTTCAAAATGTCAGTGGGACCATTTAAAAGCTATAATTGTTAAGCCAGTGCAGTGCAGGGATTAGGGGTGAAGGGGGCACAGTGCAGGGGTTAGGGACAAACCAGGGGGTGGGGAGCCTGGGGAGCTCTCGGGGGCCATGGGAAATGTGGGGGCACCCACAGGGACCAGGGGCAATGGGGGGGCACCATGCCCAGGGGAGCCAGGAGCAATGGGGGAGAAGTCGCAATCACGGGGACCAAAATACAAGTTTGCCCAGGGCACCATTTTCCCTAAGGGCAGCCCTGCTTCCCCAGCATCACACTCGGCCACCATACTGTCCTGTGATCAAGGTTAAAAATAGCTCCTGGCTCTTGGGGAGAATGGATCCACTATTCACTTGTCACCCATTCTCCTCCTTCTCCTCTTCCTCATCCATTATGTCCTCCTCATTGTTGTCTGAGGTGGCCCGGGACTCAGACTCCTGGGAGGTATCCACACTGCTCCTGGGGGTCGTTGTGAGGTTGCCGCTGAGAATCTCATGCAGCTCATTGTAGAAGCAGCATGTCTGTGCTGCAGAACCAGAATGACTGTTCACCTCCCTTGTCTTCTGGTCCGCCTGTCAAAGTTATTCCATTTTGACACGGAACTGCTGTGTGTCCCTGGTGTAGCCCTTGTCCCCCATGCCCTGCATGATCTTTTTATAAATGTCTACATTTCTTCAGCTGGATCAGAGCTGTGCTTACACAGACTCATCTCCCCACTGACCAATAAGTCCCACCACCTTCTGTGTACTCCAGGCTGGAGCACGTTTTGGGTGTTGAGTCACCATGATCACCTGGGTTAGCAAGCTCTCCACGCTGATCAAAGAGGAAATGGGAATTCAAAGTTTCCAGGGCTTTAACAGGGGAGGGGCTGTTTCCTGTGTACTTGGCTGCTGTGCAGTGGAGTTTAAAACGATCTCCAGAGCAGTCACAGCAGAGCATTGTGGGACACCTATATGCCAGTTCAGACAACTTACACAACACTGCGTCTACACTGACTCTTTGTTGACCCATCAACATCGAATCAAGTGCTACACCTCTCATGGAGGTAGAGTAATTAAGGCAACGTTACAGGTGAGTTAGGTCGGAGGAAGGGACTTGGCAGTGTAGATACATATGTTATTAGGTCAACCTAAGGCAGTTTCTGTCAACCTAAGTTTATAGGGTAAACCAGGTTTCAGTCTGTTCCTGAAATCTCTCCCCCACCCCGGCCAACACCAACCGCAACTCATCACTAGATATCAGGGGAGAGCTCATTCAGACTTGGCTTACAAATGCAAGGATCTTGATCAATCTATGAGATTGCAGATGCAACTTCCAATGAATTGAGCACCCACCTTGTGTTACCAGTAGAGCTGGCTGGAAAATGTATTTTCCATCCCTTGGGATATTCCAATATTTTGACTTTTTTTTCCTGAATTGGGACAAAAAGTTGAAATTTTGATAATTCTCAGAAAATGAAAAGTTCCAAAAAATTTTGATTTGGAAATATTGAAATGAAAATTGTTGACATTTTGGATAAAAATGAAATATTCTGACATCCCCAAACTGTGGAAACAAAATGTCAATTAGAAATAAAACCTTGTGTTTAGAGCTGACACTTCCACTTACAATTACACTGCAATTCAAAATGATAATTTTGAAATATTGCTTCAGAAAACTGAAAGAAAAAATGTTGAAATGTTGGAAATCAATGTTTTCCCATGGAAAAATCACCATTTTGATGAAACCACATTTTTGTCAGAAAATGTTTAATGAGCTCCAGTAACCAGATTGACTGATATAAGATTGTAATTTTTTCCCTCGAAAAACCATCCTTTCCCAAAGTCACATCCACATAATGTCTCACCAAGAGTCCACCAGAGAACATAATTTGTTGGATATTAGGTTGTATATTAGGAAAAACTTTTTCATTAGGAGGGTGGTGAAGCAGTGGAATGCGTTACCTAGGGAAGTGGTGGAACCTCCTTCCTTGGAGGTTTTTAAGGTCAGGCTTGACAAAGCCCTGGCTGAGATGATTTAGTTGGGGATTGGTCCTGCTTTGAGCAGAGGGTTGGACTAGATGAGCTCCTGAGGTTCCTTCCAACCCTGATATTCCATGATTCTATGATTTTAACACAAACACACATCACAATTTTTAGAGCTGTATGGTGATATATTTGAGGTCCTGCTTTGATTACAGTGTCACACATGATCAGCATTTCCCAGAATCTGCCAATTGACCCAAATTAGAATCTTTGCATCGTGACTGTTTCCTCTCTTGACTCAAGTATTGCAGTGTCTAGTCAAAAATGCATACAGGAGCTTCTAGGGCCTTTGAAGTGGAAGCTGATAGATCCAATGTCTCTCGCAGTGTTGGTGCTTGTGATACAGTTACCAGTGTTGTGCATGCACACATTGCTCATGCCAATGCTAATTGCACCCAGTCATTTTGTATCCTCTCTTCTTTCTGGTGATGATACTGGTGGCACTGATGGTAAAGTAAACCAATGAAAATAAAAGAACCTTTCAAGTGCAATGGAGCAGAGAGACCCCCAAGCTCTCTCTAGTCCAGGCAACGAGACAGGAAGCTCCTGCTTTGGAGAACTGAGTGGCAAAGAGTCCATCCTGGAGGTAAAGCAGGGAAGGTGAGTAAGACCAGGTTTTTAAAAGTGCTTGTACACAAGCTGAGCATTTTTTTCTTAGTCACAGTTGTTTAATGCAGTAATTCAAGTATGTCAGTGTCCAAACCAAGCTCTATAGTTAATGCCTGAGGCCTACTCAGTAATGATAAAGATGAAAGACCCATTTCTCTGAGCACATTGTATAGGTGCAACATCCGTCGAACTAGCAGAGCGAGAACTTCCTTTGCGGTTTAAGCCGGAACATCGCAGAGCAAATAATTTTCCTCTCTCAGTTCATGCTGACCCTCTGCCGCTCTCTGTCTCCACTGAGGATTTTGAGACAGGACTAGACGGGTACGCCTCCTAAAGTTCTGTTCCAGGACTCCTGCTCGCTGATCCGAAAACACCTCCACAGGTATCATCTCCAAGTGCTTGTGGGGTCTTTCATTGTTAGGGAATGTAACTGCTGTAGGATTTTTCTCTTCAGACTAACTCAGGAAGTGTGTGTTGATGGGTGATGTTTTCAAAAGTGCCTAAGAACCAGATTGAAATCAGTGGGATTTAGGAGCCTAAATAACTTTTAAAAATCTGGCCCTAAGTGACTTATGAGCATAATTCTTATTGAAAGTCAATGGGACTCTAGCAGGGATGGTCTGCCCCCTTTAAGGGCAGTAGGGACTAAAGGTCAACCACCCCCTGTTTTTTTGGTATGGCTCTTCAAGGTTTGAGGAGTTTGGAAGGGTCTAGGAAGTGTCAGAGGAAGATACTGGGAAGAAGGAAGCACTCCTGGGGAAACAGTGTTTGGGGAAATCCATAGTTCTTCTGTTCCTTTAAGGGCCCAGGAGCAGAAGCTTTGTAATGCAGTGTGGGGCAAAATTCCCCTCTCTCACAGCCAACTGGGATGAGCCTTGGAGGGAGGGCAGCATATATGCTGCCTGCTCCCTCATGAAAGGCAGACTCTAGCAGGAGGAGGACTGCTGCCCGCTGACCTCTCCAAGCCAACACGTGAAAGGACTGAGTAAAAAGGGGCTAGCTGGGGAGAAGCTGACTAAGAATCATAGAATCATAGAATATCAGGGTTGGAAGGGACCTCAGGAGGTCATCTAGTCCAACCCCCTGCTCAAAGCAGGACCAATCCCCAACTAAATCATCCCAGCCAGGGCTTTCTCAAGCCTGACCTTAAAAACTTCTAACGAAGGAGATTCCACCATCTCCCTAGGTAACACATTCCAGTGCTTCACCACCCTCCTAGTGAAAAAGTTTTTCCTAATATCCAACCTAAACCTCCCCCACTGCAACTTGAGACCATTACTCCTTGTTCTGTCATCAGCTACCACTGAGAACAGTCTAGATCCACCCTCTTTGGAACCCCCTTTCAGGTAGTTGAAAGCAGCTATCAGATCCCCCCTCATTCTTCTCTTCTGCAGACTAAACAATCCCAGTTCCCTCAGCCTCTCCTAAATCGTATGTTCCAGTGCCCTAAACATTTTTGTTGCCCTCCGCTGGACGTTTTCCAATTTTTTCACATCCTTCTTGTAGTCTTGTAGAACTGCAGCTGGCCTGTATCAGAACCCAGCTCCAGGATGATAGCTGTGGAATCCTCACCTAAGGAGAGTGAGGATTTGAATTTTCACCATGCTTCAGGAAGAAGGGCTGGGGTCTTCTGAACTTGGTGAGAGAACACTTCTCTGAATTAATACCCAGGGCCAGAAGAAAGGTTAGATTCAAGGGGCTAAAGAAGAAGTTTTATATTCTGTAGGAAAGGTTAATAAAGGAGACCCCACAAAGGGGGTATCTACTTGGATTACTTGAGTCTGAGAAAATGATTGCAAGCACCAAGAGAAAGCTGAGTAGCCCACCTGCAGAGCCATGCAGGACCAGAAGAGGGCATGCTCAAGGGCTGTATCCTGTTACAGGGACTTATGCTCCTAAATTTCTTGGTCTCTCTTGAAAATCCCAACCATTATTTTTATTTAAAAGGATTCCTCTTTATTTCTAACTTTTGTATTTCCCCCCCCCTCTTAATCTAAGCAGCACAAATGTGGGTTTTGGATGTATGATATTGGTCAATCCATGTAGCTAATAGTTCTGCATGTTTAACTGTGTGGGTTTTTTTTTGCCATATCCACCATATCTACAAGATCTACCATATCTACCACCAAAAATTGGGATATCAAGTTATAAGTAAAGTGTTTAGTACACAATCTGAAGAAAACTTGTTTTTAAAAAATCATTCCAATTTAACTTAGAAATGATCATAAATCCATTGACTGAGAATTTGCTGAGGGGGGCCATAAAAATAAGGCTAATGGTAAACACCAGCTTATTTAATCTGGGGTGGGTTTCTAGTGAAGTGCCACTGAGAATCAACAATAGTTCCTCGCCTATTCAAGGTCTGATTAAATCATCTGAAAGAGAATGCAAGCAAAATGTTAATAAAATTTCCATCTCATATTGAATTGGAAGGCATTTGGATCAGAAGTTAGAGGGTAGAAATATGGACAGGATCCAACAAAATGAAACTGAGACAAATTAGCTATCCCTATTCAATATACAATGGAGAAGCTTATGTTAATAGCCCTAGATATGGACTCATTGAGAGTCTGGGGAGGGGGTTTCAGTGGAAGATCTTAAATTCTAACTTCCCCTGCTGTTCTGCTATTCTATGAGGTTTTTGGTCTTCAAGGCATGATGCAAGGCTCATCATTTTATTACTTCAGTTTCTTAAGGAGACTCTTAGCCAGGAATGGGGTTAGGTGAGATGTTTTCAGCTTTTCTCCCTTTAATAATGCGATGATTCTTTAAATTAATTAGGGTCCCTGGGTAACATGTTCAAAACATTGAAAATGATTTTTCAATGGGCCATAAGCTTCTAAGTCATTAAAGAGCTTCCGAAAAGGGATTCAGGAAAGCACTTAAGCTTGTGACATTCAGGCATAAAACCCACTGAGATTCAGGAGTAAAAAGTAGACACAATTATTTTAGTTACTAAAGTCAGCCTGTACATGTGAAATTCTCTCTTTAGGGAGAAAGTGTCATTTTTACACTGCAATTTGTCAGAATAGAGCTACATGTAAAGTTCTTCAGAATATGGTACCTTAACTTTGCGTTTATATATTTTTCAGCATTTTTAAAACAAAGTTTTGTCTTCATGTATAATTTCTTCATGTTCTAATGTTTTTGTAAAATTTACATCTTTTGATTTGCAATTTTGTAAATTGTGTTTGTTTGTTTTGCTTAAGTTATTGAAATGCATGGACAGCTTTAATTTCAGTTCAGCTAATTATTTTCTCTTGGAACATTAAGTAGAGGTCAGACATTTTAAAGATTATAAGAAATACATCTCTCTGAGCTCCCTGCTCCAATTCTCTGCCTGGCTTCTCTCAACCAACCTATTGTGATATGAAATAGGCCTTGATATTATTTGTCTGCTCTGATGATAAATCAGTAGAGTCTGATTCTTCATGTAACTGCACCAGTTTTATTCTGGTGTAAGTCCATAGGTATCACTGGAGTTACACCAACATGAAACAAGTGTAACAAAGGGGAGAATCAGGCCCACAGATCTGTTGTCAGCCACTTCCATCCACTCAATCAGAGTGTAAACATTATATCCTTTAGCCCACCAGAAATGAGCGAGCAGGAAATAACCTACACCGAACTGAAATTTCACACTCCTACTCAACAGCAAATGTGGCAAAGAGCTGAGAAGACCAAGACCAAAGGTACTGTACATAACAAGCTGCTAACTCTGTACATGCTTTTATTTTACTGTCAAGAGTCAAACCTCTTGGTCCAATAACTTTCCTTAACTTAACCCCAGAATTACAATAAAAAACTCAATAATAATGGGGGATTTCAACTGTCCCCATATTGCCTGGGTATATATCACTGCAGGACAGGTTGCAGAGATAAAGTTTCTTGAAACCTTAAATGACTGCTTCTTGGAGCAACTAGTCCTGGAGCCCACAAGAGGAGAGGCAGTACTTGATTTAGTACTAAATGGAGCATAGGATCTGGTCCAAGAGGTGAATATAGCTGGACCGCTTGGTAATAGTGACCATAATATAATTAAATTTAACATCCCTGTGGTGGGGTAAACACCACTGTGGCCCAACGTTGTAGCATTTAATTTCAGAAAGGGGAACTACACAAAAATGATGTTAGTTAAACAGAAATTAAAAGGTACAGTGCCAAAAGTGAAATCCCTGCAAGCTGCATGGAAACTTTTTAAAGACACCATAATAGAGGCTCAACTTAAATGTATACCCCAAATTAAAAAAATAATAGTAAAAGAACCAAAAAAGAGCCACCATGGCTAAACAACAAAGTAAGAGAAGCAGTGAGAGGCAAAAAGGCATCCTTTAAAAAGTAGAAGTTAAATCCTAGTGAGGAAAATAGAAAGGAGCATAAACTCTGCAGATGAAGCGTAAAAATATAATTAGGGAGGCCAAAAAAGAATTTGAAGAACAGCTAGCCAAAGACTCAAAAAGTTATTGCAAAAAAAATTTTAAGTACATCAGAAGCAGAAAGCCTGCGAAACAACCAGTGGGGCCACTGAACAATCGAAATGTTAAAGGAGCAGTCAAGGATGATAAGGTGATTGCGGAGAAATGAGATTTGTTGCATCGGTCTCCATGGTTGAGGATTTGAGGGAGATTCCCAAACCTGAGCAATTCTTTTTAGGTGACAAGTCTGAGGAACTGTCCCAGATTGAGGTGTCATTAGAGGAGTTTTTGGAACAAATTGAAAAACTAAACAGTGATAAGTCACCAGGACCAGATGGCATTCACCCAAGAGTTCTGAAGGAACTCAAATGTGAAATTGCAGGACTACTAACTGTAGTCTGTAACATATCATTTAAATAAGCTTCTGTACAAAATGACTGGAGGATAGCTAATGTGACACCAATCTTTAAAAAGGGCTCCAGAGGTGACCCCGGCAATTACAGGCCAGTAAGCCTGACTTCAGTACTGGGCAAACTGGTTGAAAATATAAAGAATAGAATTGTCAGACACATAGATCATAGAATCATAGAATATCAGGGTTGGAAGGGACCCCAGAAGGTCATCTAGTCCAACCCCCTGCTCGAAGCAGGACCAATTCCCAGTTAAATCATCCCAGCCAGGGCTTTGTCAAGCCTGACCTTAAAAACCTCTAAGGAAGGAGATTCTACCACCTCCCTAGGTAACGCATTCCAGTGTTTCACCACCCTCTTAGTGAAAAAGTTTTTCCTAATATCCAGTCTAAACCTCCCCCACTGCAACTTGAGACCATTACTCCTCGTTCTGTCATCTGCTACCATTGAGAACAGTCTAGAGCCATCCTCTTTGGAACCCCCTTTCAGGTAGTTGAAAGCAGCTATCAAATCCCCCTCATTCTTCTCTTCTGCAGGCTAAACAATCCCAGCTCCCTCAGCCTCTCCTCATAAGTCATGTGTTCCAGACCCCTAATCATTTTTGTTGCCCTTCGCTGGACTCTCTCCAATTTATCCACATCCTTCTTGAAGTGTGGGGCCCAAAACTGGACACAGTACTCCAGATGAGGCCTCACCAATGTCGAATAGAGGGGAACGATCACGTCCCTCGATCTGCTCGCTATGCCCCTACTTATACATCCCAAAATGCCATTGGCCTTCTTGGCAACAAGGGCACACTGCTGACTCATATCCAGCTTCTCGTCCACTGTCACCCCTAGGTCCTTTTCCACAGAACTGCTGCCTAGCCATTCGGTCCCTAGTCTGTAGCTGTGCATTGGGTTCTTCCGTCCTAAGTGCAGGACCCTGCACTTATCCTTATTGAACCTCATCAGATTTCTTTTGGCCCAATCCTCCAATTTGTCTAGGTCCTTCTGTATCCTATCCCTCCCCTCCAGCGTATCTACCACTCCTCCCAGTTTAGTATCATCCGCAAATTTGCTGAGAGTGCAATCCACACCATCCTCCAGATCATTTATGAAGATATTGAACAAAACCGGCCCCAGGACCAACCCTTGGGGCACTCCACTTGATACCGGCTGCCAACTAGACATGGAGCCATTGATCACTACCCGTTGAGCCCGACAATCTAGCCAGCTTTCTACCCACCTTATAGTGCATTCATCCAGCCCATACTTCCTTAACTTGCTGACAAGAATACTGTGGGAGACCGTGTCAAAAGCTTTGCTAAAGTCAAGAAACAATACATCCACTGCTTTCCCTTCATCCACAGAACCAGTAATCTCATCATAAAAGGCGATTAGATTAGTCAGGCATGACCTTCCCTTGGTGAATCCATGCTGACTGTTCCTGATCACTTTCCTCTCATGCAAGTGCTTCAGTATTGATTCTTTGAGGACCTGCTCCATGATTTTTCCAGGGACTGAGGTGAGGCTGACTGGCCTGTAGTTCCCAGGATCCTCCTTCTTCCCTTTTTTAAAGATTGGCACCACATTAGCCTTTTTCCAGTCATCCGGGACTTCCCCCGTTTGCCACGAGTTTTCAAAGATAATGGCCAATGGCTCTGCAATCACAGCCGCCAATTCCTTCAGCACTCTCGGATGCAACTCGTCCGGCCCCATGGACTTGTGCACGTCCAGCTTTTCTAAATAGTCCCTAACCACCTCTATCTCCACAGAGGGCTGGCCATCTCTTCCCCATTTTGCGATGCCCAGCGCAGCAGTCTGGGAGCTGACCTTGTTAGTGAAAACAGAGGCAAAAAAGCATTGAGTACATTAGCTTTTTCCACATCCTCTGTCACTAGGTTGCCTCCCTCATTCAGTAAGGGGCCCACACTTTCCTTGGCTTTCTTCTTGTTGCCAACATACCTGAAGAAACCCTTCTTGTTACTCTTGACATCTCTGGCTAGCTGCAGCTCCAGGTGCGATTTGGCCCTCCTGATATCATTCCTACATGCCCGAGCAATATTTTTATACTCTTCCCTGGTCATATGTCCAACCTTACACTTCTTGTAAGCTTCTTTTTTATGTTTAAGATCCGCTAGGATTTCACCATTAAGCCAAGCTGGTCGCCTGCCATATTTACTATTCTTTCGACTCATTGGGATGGTTTGTCCCTGTAACCTCAACAGGGATTCCTTGAAATACAGCCAGCTCTCCTGGACTCCTTTCCCCTTCAAGTTAGTCCCCCAGGGGATCCTGGCCATCTGTTCCCTGAGGGAGTCGAAGTCTGCTTTCCTGAAGTCCAGGGTCCGTATCCTGCTGCTTACCTTTCTTCCCTGCGTCAGGATCCTGAACTCAACCAACTCATGGTCACTGCCTCCCAGATTCCCATCCACTTTTACTTCCCCCACTAATTCTACCCGGTTTGTGAGCAGCAGGTCAAGAAAAGCGCCCCCCCTAGTTGGCTCCTCTAGCACTTGCGCCAGGAAATTGTCCCCTACGCTTTCCAAAAACTTCCTGGATTGTCTATGCACCGCTGTATTGCTCTCCCAGCAGATATCAGGAAAATTAAAGTCACCCATGAGAATCAGGGCATGCGATCTAGTAGCTTCCGTGAGCTGCCGGAAGAAAGCCTCATCTACCTCATCCCCCTGGTCCGGTGGTCTATAGCAGACTCCCACCACTACATCACTCTTGTTGCACACACTTCTAAACTTAATCCAGAGACACTCAGGTTTTTCTGCAGTTTCGTACCGGAGCTCTGAGCAGTCATACTGCTCCCTTACATACAGTGCTACTCCCCCACCTTTTCTGCCCTGCCTGTCCTTCCTGAACAGTTTATAACCATCCATGACAGTACTCCAGTCATGTAAGTTATCCCACCAAGTCTCTGTTATTCCGATCACGTCATAGTTCCTTGACATCACCAGGACCTCCAGTTCTCCCTGCTTGTTTCCAAGGCTTTGTGCATTTGTATATAAGCACTTGAGATAACCTGTTGATCGCCCCTCATTCCCACTATGAGGCAGGAGCCCTCCCCTCACAGACATTCCTGCCTGTGCTTCCTCCCGGTATCCCGCTTTCCCACTTACCTCAGGGCTTTGGTCTCCTTCCCCCGGTGAACCTAGTTTAAAGCCCTCCTCACTAGGTGAATATGATGATGAATATAATTTGTTGGGAAGAGTCAACATGGTTTTTGTAAAGGGAAATCATGCCTCACCAATCTACTAGAATTCTTTGAGGGGGTCAACAAGCATGTGGACAAGGGGGATCCAGTGGATATAGTGTATTTAGATTTTCAGAAAGTCTTTGACAAGGTCCCTCACCAAAGGCTCTTAAGCAAAGTAATCACTCATGGGATAAGACTGCAAAGAGCTACAAAAGGATCTCTCAAAACTGGGTGAGTGGGCAACAAAATGGCAGATGAAATTCAATGTTGATAAATGCAAAGTAATGCACATTGGAAAACATAATCCCAACTATACATATAAAATGATGGAGTCTACATTAGCTGTTATCATTCAAGAAAGAGATCTTGGAGTCATTGTGGATAGTTCTCTGAAAACATCCACTCATTGTGCAGTGGCAGTCAAAAAAGCAAACAGAATGTTGGGAATCATTAAGAAAGGGATAGATAATAAGACAGAAAATATCATACTGCCTCTATATAAATCCATGGTATGCCTACATCTTGAATACAGCATGCAGATGTGGTCACCACATCTCAAAAAAGATATACTGGAATTGGAAAAGGTTCAGAAAAGGGCAACAAAAATGGTTAGGGGTATGGAACGGCTGTCATATGAGGAGAGATTAATGAGACTGGGACTTTTCAGCTTGGAAAAAAAGACAACTAAGGGGGATATGACAGAGGTCTATAAAATTATGAATGGTGTGGAGAAAATTAATAAGGAAGTGTTATTTTCTGCTTCTCATAACCCAAGAACTAGGGGTCATCAAATGAAATTAATAGGCAGCAGGTTTAAAATAAACAAAAGGAAGTATTTTTTCACACAACACACAGCCTGTGGAACTCCTTGCCAGAGGATGTTGTGAAGGCCAAGACTATAACTGGGTTCAAAAAAGAACTAGATAAATTCATGGAGGATAGGTCCATCAATGCTATTAGCCAGGATGGACAGGGATTGTGTCCCTAGCCTCTGTTTGCCAGAAGCTGGGAATGGGCAACAAGGAATGGATCACTTGATGATTCCCTGTTCTGTTCATTCCCTCTGGGGCACCTGGCATTGGCCACTGTCGGAAGACAGGATACTGGGCTAGATGGACCTTTGGCCTGACCCAGTATGGCCATTCTTATGTTCTTGTGTTCTTGATATTACATGTCAGTATTCAGGAAGTTTAATGTATTTTCCTCTGATGTACCTGCCAATAGCATGTTACTGAAAGCTGATCATAGCCCAGCATGCAAAGTGCAGGAACTAATCATGCATAAGAGGGAGAGGTCACAGACTTTGAAGCTAACAAAGGTGTCTGTCTGCTCTAGTCATTCTCATTTGCCCCCGGCTAAGTATCCAACCAGTCAGTTATTACTGGTCTGGATGAACTTGTTTTCTTTCTTTTCTCTGTAAAAGCCCTCATGTTACAGGTCCAACCACCAACTGTCTGTGGTCAGGAAGAAGCTTCCACAATGGGCAGGCTATTCTATAACTGTCCATTATGTTAAATTCTCTTCTGAAGTAGTCTGTTCTACTCAGAGACAGTGTTCACTTTGCCTGTCTTGGTCCCTTCTCCTTTTGTTAGGTTCTCCCTCTCCATCACCACAGTGGAGGCTCATTGCGGCACTGCCTCTTGGGATCTTTTGCCTGCCTTTCCTGGTAACTCTGGGGATATTAAGCGCTCAGATGTGATACAGTAAACTGCAGGAGTTTACATAAGGAGTTCCACAGTTTTGCATACTCTTATCTGTGTAACTTTGGAAATATACAGTGAAATTTTGAGAGAAATTAGAATCTTCATCTTTTTTCCCCAATCACTGTTTTTTTCACTCTCTTTTCTACCCTCTTTTTTACTTCTGCCTCCCCATCACCCAATCAGGGAAATTAGATATAAAAATTATGTTAATGTTAAAAGTTTAATTACTGAAAAGTTACGGCAGGGAAAAGTTCACTCATTGCATATGCTGTCTAAGACAGAACTCTGTGGTGAGTTTGGGTTACTTTGCACCAAACAAGTGCAAAACAACCTCAAACCCAGTAGATACAGATCCTGGCAGATTCCCTTGCATAATTGGATTCTCAGATGGTGGTGCAGAAATTCTAGTGACTCCTATGCCACCCACATCCTGGCTTCAGTGGTGTGGGCATAGCTGGGACATCTCTATAACACAATGTCATAAATATAAAGGGAAGAGTAAACCCCTTTAAAATCCCTCCTGGCCAGGGGAAAAATCCTCTCACCTGTAAAGGGTTAAGAAGCTACAGGTAAGCTCGCTGGCACCTGACCAAAATGACCAATGAGGAGACAAGATACTTTCAAAAGCTGGGAGGAGGGAGAGAAACAAAGTGTCTATGTCTGTCTGTATGCTGCTTTTGCCGGGGATAGAACAGGAATGGAGTCTTAGAACTTTTAGTAAGTAATCTAGCTAGGTATGTATTAGATTATGATTTCTTTAAATGGCTAAGAAAAGAACTGTGCTGAATAGAATGACTATTCCTGTCTGTGTGTCTTTTTTGTAACTTAAGGTTTTGCCTAGAGGGATTCTCTATGTTTTGAATCTAATTACCCTGTAAGGTATCTACCATCCTGATTTTACAGAAGTGATTCCTTTACTTCTATTAAAAGTCTTCTTGTAAGAAAACTGAATGCTTTTTCATTGTTCTCAGATCCAAGGGTTTGGGTCTGTGGTCACCTATGCAAATTGGTGAGGATTTTTACCAAACCTTCCCCAGGAAGTGGGGTGCAAGGGTTGGGAGGATTTTAGGGGGAAAGACATGTCCAAACTACATTTCCCAGTAAACCCAGTTAAAGTTTGGTGGTGGCAGTGGAAATCCAGGGTCAAAGGATAAAATTAATTTGTACCTTAGGGAAGTTTTAACCTAAGCTGGTGAAAGTAAGCTTAGAAGGTTTTCATGCAGGTCCCCACATCTGTACCCTAGAGTTCAGAGTGGGGGAGGAACCTTGACACACAACAATCCCTAAATGCTGTAACAGCTTCTTTTGGTAGTTGGCAAATGGCAAAAATTAGAGGCAGCCTGCTCTAATTTATGTTGGGGACCAGCCTGTGCCCTGACAGCCCCATGACCAGAGAAGTAAAAGTAGTTTTTAAATCACCTTTACAGCATCTGTGCTGAGAGGTCTTCAGCTACAGTTCAGGAACTTGGTCATTGAATATTTGGATTACAAGTCATGCAGATAGATTTTTCTTATTAAAAAATAGTTGCAACATCAATGAATCAACATAAGTAGGTAAATCTTAACTTCCTTGTTTCCAAAATTTTGAGGGACAGATCTTCAGGTGGTGTAAAATGTCAAAGCTCCATGTATTTAAATTTCTAACTTTAACCATTAACATTAAATTAGTATAAGCCTTTGCATTTCATAAAAGCTTTAATATTTTTCCAAAGCAAATTTAATATAAGTAGGTATAACTGAAATGTATAGGAAGGCAGTGATAGAGGAATAAATGTGATTTTCCTGTTCTGTATTAAATAAAATTATGCATATTTCTATCTTCCTAACCATGCAGAAATCTCACATGGGACTGTAGCAGCTGGGCCCCCTCTTCCTCTGGATTTTTTTTGTTCACCTTTGATCCATTTCACTACAATCTCAGCATAACAGGAGAAATTGCATGGTTACTGCATATTCCAATAATTTCAATGGGATTTCTATTTTACCAAAAAATAATGGAAGAATTTCAGACCTTGTCTCAAGACATGTCCAAATTCCAGTGGTGTGTTCCAAACAGCTGTGAAACATGAACTGTCCTTTCTGAATAACCACCCTCCCCAGAAATATTGGTGTAAAATATCTGTTTTACCTATTCAGATGATCATTGAAATGTAAGAAATGTCAGCAAAGTCACTCCTGCTGGGGAACTGAGGGGGGGATTTTATGGCCCTCATGGCTCTGGGAATAACTGACAATTCATTCACCCAAATGAAGTGTAGTGAATGGAGAAGGTAAAAAGGATCAGCTCGATATCTCCAGTGAAAGAAAAATAATTGCATACTGTCAATGCCTGTTATTTTAGGGCTGTTAGTTAAGCCTGGTGGAGCCTAGATACAGTTAATTCCACTGTGACACTGGATTCCCTGAATGTCTTTTTGTTTATTGTTTGCCTTTCCTTCCTGTTAGATTTTGCTTCTCCATCTTCCCCGTGGCGATATGTTGCAGTGATTCTGGGGATCCTCTGTGTAGTATTGTTGGGAGCTGTGGGGTTCCAGAGTGTCAAACGTAAGTATTTTCAGGAAAAACAAAGAAAAGATTCCAGAGTCTCCAGAAGTTTCAGCAAAGGGGTAAGTGTTGCTGACAAATTTCAGGTGACTTGAGTGATCTCAGATCAGTTCAATTTTTTTTTCTACCAATATCACTTTTATGAAAGTCTTCCCCAGGCAAATATCTTGCAGGTCTCAGGGTGGCTTGGATGTGGTCTAAAACCATTATCAAATGGCATGATCATGAGCAATGCACTAACAAAATCAATCTATAAAATGTATTTCCTGTTGAAGGAGACAACTGCAGCCTTTGCCCAGAAAACTGGATACAGCATGAGGAGAACTGTTACCACTTTTCTACTGAATGGAAAACTTGGCAAGAGAGTCAAGATTATTGTTCTTCTCGGGGCTCCAGACTTTTGAAGATACACAGCAAAAAAAAACAGGTAGAATTCAATTGTGGGGACTTTTCAGGCTACAAACAGCAGATTAGTCAGAGACAAGGAGAACAATATTTGATTTCATGTCTGTAGTGTTGCATGGAAGAACCTGGTTTGACTCCATGTTCTGGCATCTCAATTTCCGGGTTGCGCAGGTCTGGGAACACTGCAATTACAGTTCAGCTGGTGCTTAGAAAAGCAGGTCCTCACAATGGTCTGCAATGACTCTCATTAAGTATAAACAGGCACTGTCAGTCCCGTCTCCTCCCCACCCCAAGAGGCCTACTTACTCAGAAAGAGCAGGCGCTAAGCGGATAGAGTTAAAAGTCCAAATACTGATGTGAGACTAAGACAATTTTTGATTGTTCCCATACAGGATTTCATAAAGCCTCTAGCATTTTCTTATCACTGGATCGGATTATTCCGTAATGGGATCAATGAATCCTGGGTTTGGGAGGATGGCACAGCTCTAACCCTTAACCTGTAAGTCTCTGGCATGTCTAGTTAGGGGCATTAATAACAACTTCTGACTTTGCCAGTACATGCCAGTTAACAGTACATGTATGTTTCATTTCCAGGTTTGCAGAACATCCAGATTTTAATAGCGGTGACTGTGCAGCTTTCAGAATTGGAGAAGCCCACTCCTATGTTTGTACACAATCAAAACCCTATATTTGTGAGCAGAGGGCCACTTAGATGAAGCCTGTTATACCAGCATAAGAAAGACTGGAGAAAGACACTGAGGCTTCTTCAGTGGCCCTCAGTGCCTCACTGAGGCACAACAATTCATGGAGCTCTTGGTAACTGGAACTTTTATGCTGCCCTTTAACAAGGGGCGGCATGTGCTCCCCTCCTTGGCTGACCATGGACCTGTTTCCTCCCCACCCCTTTTGAGGTGATTAGTGCAGCTAGCTGCTTGAGGAAGGAGCACATCTTGTTATGCGGGGAAGAGCAAGAACTACAATGGCCATTCCCTGCTTGCACACTCATGCAGAAACTGATCAAAAATCTTGTCCATAATAAATCATCTCCATTTTCTGACAGATTTTCTTCCCAGCTGAAAATTACTAGTTGTATATAGATGGTTCTTGTTACCGAGAGATATGCATAGAAGTTGCCATTTTGTGGGTCGGTCTTATTAGTCGTGATTAAACTGACCATATTTTTGTTGTTTAAAAAAGTGTCCTAGTTTTCTATTATAATGCTGTCATAAAGTGGGCTATCTGGGACACGGTGTGGGGAGGAGCATATACAAGACAGTCTGGAGTGGGTGGGGGAAAGAGGATGAAATTAATTATTTTCCTCCAGTAAACTAAATCCAGCTAGCTGCAAGATTCCATAACTTCCTCTGGAGACAGACAGAGATAAGCTTGACATGAACTTTGAACTACTTTTTATTTTTATATTTAAGGAAAAACTTCAGTGATTGGTTATAACAACTTAGGGCCACATAATCTCTTTTGTGCTAGAGAAGTGCAAAAAGATTTTAAAATGTACTACAAAATTGAGCTTTGTAAGTTAATAAATATGTTTCTACTAATAAGAAGTTTGTAGTAATCAACAGTGGGCATAGCTACAAATACTCATTGAAGAAATTGTATATTCTTATGTAGATGTGGAATGCTTCACTACTGTATACATAGCAGAATCTACAGTAAAGAGTCATGATGTACATAAATATATAGCAATTTCTTCAAGATCTTTGTGTCACTGTTCAGAGCAACTGGACCTTTATACCTCCTCGATGGTTCAGCAAGGGCACCCACTCTAAGCTCCTGGCTCCTCAGCCATCACCTCTTTTGGATGGAGATGTGCATCTTTCTCCCTCCTGACTGGAATATTTCTGGATTGCACAGTTCTATGCATATACTGTGACCTCCCCAGCAAATTCAGACTGCCTAAGCCAGCCTGCTTTACTTTTATCCTCAGAGACAGTAAACAGTGTAATTGCCCACAGTTAAGTTACCACACAGCTCTTGCTAAGCAAACACATTCTTAAGGTGAAAGTATTACAGAGAAAACATTAAAAACAATAAAAGAACCTATATGCTTGCTAATAAGCTTACCAACTACAACAAGGGGCTCTGGCCAGTGAACAGTTCTTCAAACACTACACAGAGGTTTCTCCTATGGTCACAAGGTCATCACAATTTTTGCTCAGAACCAGCACATCCAGTCTTATGGGGCCTCAGTAGGCCAAAGTCCTTCTAGCCTTTCTCTCAGGATTGGGGCATCCCTTGAACCAAATTCCCTGTCTGCTTGATGGAGCGAAAGAAGGCTTTAAGTCAGTTTGAACTGAGGCTATTTATTTAAAAGTCCTTTCTTTGTTGATTGGTCCCCGGAAATAGTTTGTATCAGTATTTGCTAGACTATCCAGGTGGTGGTATCTCTCTGGAGTTGCTGAGTAAATCTGTTTAATCATCTCCCACTGTTCTTAGTTCCCGGAAGCTGTGGTCCCACTCCTCCATGGAATTACATACAATCCTTCACCCACAAAGACAAACTTAGTTCAATAAGGTTTGTCCAGGATATTGTTATATCCCTCACACTTTGCATTCAAAGATGCATTTGAAAATGTCTGCTGAATCCTTATCTACCCACAGAAACATTCTAGTATTTTCCTAGACTAAGGTGCAGTTTTCTTCCTATAGCAAATTACTGCTATCACATAAAACTCTTAATTGGAAGGTCTTGATATGTTCCATCTTCTGCAATGACTCTTTCAGGGCCTGATCCAAACCCCATTGAAGACAATGGGAGTCTTGGATCAGACCCTCAAACAACACAATCATTAAAAATAGAGGTGGATGAAATTTTCAAGATACACAACTTTCTTTTTCCCCCCTGTCCTTGCAAATTTCAATGAAAAAATAAGTTAGATTTTTTGACATTCTCAAGAAAAATGTATCCTATTTTTCAACCAGCTCCATAGCTGACTGAAACATTTTGAAATTGAAAAATGTTGATGTTTTTGTAAAAATTTCATATTTTAATTAAAAATTTGGATTATTTTTTAATCTCTAACTTAATTTTGTCATTCACTTCAGTCCATTAATGTAGCTTGACTGTCAGATCCCAAGGCTAAATTTCAGGACTGGTAGTTAGAAAAAAGGCATATTTTTACTTGTAGATAGAGCAAATTTGCTCTGAAATCACACAGACACAATAAATATGGGACTCCACAATGACATTTGTGCTATCATTTCTAAGAGCAAAACAGCATTTGAATTAAGTGCATTTATCATTTGAACCAGCAGCCTCTGTGTTTTTTGATCCTACCCTGAAATGCCAAAATAATACAAGAGACAGATAGTTCCTGTGGTGTTTCCAGCCCAACCAGAAGCAGAAAGCACTGGAAATCTAATGTTGGAAGTCTGCTTTCTCACAAGATTTGCAGACATGAGAAGTTCAACTTTTGCCTGCTTATCCAAACTAAGCCTCCAATCATTTTCTCATAAGATTTGTATATCACTAACTATAAGCAGTAACATAAACATCAGCCAAAATAATCCATATATATTTTAATGGATTCAGTCTTCTCTCAAGCTGGTAATAAGGAGATACATTGTACTCAGAGCTGGTTGGAGAAACTTTCACAGAACCAGATTCTGTTAGAATAGAGACATAAACTAAATGTATATCCCCAATTTATTTTTAAGAAAAAAAAAACAGAAGACCAAAAACATGTCACCATGGCTAAATAGAGTAAAACAAGCTGTTAGAGACAAAAAGGCATCCTTTAAAAACTAGAAATCAAATCCTACTGAGGAAAATGGAAAGGAACATAAACTCTGGCAAGCCAAGTGTAAATGTATAATTAGGCAGGCCAAAAAAGAATACTAAACTAGAAGCCTAACTGCTGCAGAGGGTCTCTGCCAATCTGACCCAGTGGAAAATTCCTTCCTGACTCCAGATATGGTGGTCACTTAGACCTGCAGCACGTGGGCAAGACCCAGCAGCCAGACTCCTGGGAAAGAATTCTCTGTTGTAACTCAGAGCCCTCCCCATCTAGTGCCCCATCACTAGCTGTTGGGGATATTTGCAGTCGCAGGTCGGCTACATGCCATTGCAGGCAGTCTCATCATACCACCCCCTCCATAAACTTATCAAGCTCAGTCTTAAAGCTAGTTAGGTTTTTTTGCCCCCACTAGTCCCCTTGGAAGGCTGTTCTGGAACTTCACTCCTCTGATGGTTAGAAACCTTCACAGTTCTGTGGTGACCTAGAATCCTATTTTCGACGTCTCCGACTCAAGGAATATTTCCAAAATACCTCTGAACAACATACTAATCCACAGAGGTCTCCCTACCAACACTACAGAAAGAGGGATTCTAGGTGGACTCCTCCTGAAGGTCGAAACAGCAGACTGGACTTCTACATAGAGTGCTTCCGCCGACGTGCACGGGCTGAAATTGTGGAAAAGCAGCATCACTTGCCCCATAACCTCAGCCATGCGGATCGCAACGCCATCCACAGCCTCAGAAACAACTCTGACATCATAATCAAAAAGGCTGACAAAGGAGGTGCTGTTGTCATCATGAATAGGTCGGAATATGAACAAGAGGCTGCTCGGCAGCTCTCCAACACGAGTTTCTACAAGCCATTACCCTCTGATCCCACTGAGAGTTACCAAAAGCAACTACAGCATTTGCTCAAGAAACTTCCTGAAAAAGCACAAGATCAAATCCGCACAGACACACCCCTGGAACCCCGACCTGGGATATTCTATCTACTACCCAAGATCCATAAACCTGGAAATCCTGGGCGCCCCATCATCTCAGGCATTGGCACCCTGACAGCAGGATTGTCTGGCTATGTAGACTCCCTCCTCAGGCCCTACGCTACCAGCACTCCCAGCTACCTTCGAGACACCACTGACTTCCTGAGGAAACTTCAATCCATCGGTGATCTTCCTGATAACACCATCCTGGCCACTATGGATGTAGAAGCCCTCTACACCAACATTCCACACAAAGATGGACTACAAGCCGTCAAGAACATTATCCCCGATAATGTCACGGCTAACCTGGTGGCTGAACTTTGTGACTTTGTCCTTACCAATAACTATTTTACATTTCGGGACAATGTATACCTTCAGATCAGCGGCACTGCTATGGGTACCCGCATGGCCCCACAGTATGCCAACATTTTTATGGCTGATTTAGAACAATGCTTCCTCAGCTCTCGTCCCCTAAAGCCCCTACTCTACTTGCGCTATATTGATGACATCTTCATCATCTGGACCCATGGAAAAGAAGCCCTTGAGGAATTCCACCATGATTTCAACAATTTCCATCCCACCATCAACCTCAGCCTGGACCAGTCCACACAAGAGATCCACTTCCTGGACACTACAGTGCTAATAAACAATGGTCACATAAACACCACCCTATACCGGAAACCTACTGACCGCTATTCCTACCTGCATGCCTCCAGCTTTCACCCTGACCACACCACACGATCCATCGTCTACAGCCAAGCTCTGCGATACAACCGCATTTGCTCCAACCCCTCAGACAGAGACAAACACCTACAAGATCTCTGTCAAGCTTTCTTACAACTACAATACCCACCCGCGGAAGTAAAGAAACAGATTGATAGAGCCAGAAGAGTTCCCAGAAGTTACCTACTACAGGACAGGCCTAACAAAGAAAATAACAGAACGCCACTAGCCGTCACCTTCAGCCCCCAACTAAAACCCCTCCAACGCATTATTAAGGATCTACAACCTATCCTAAAGGATGACCCAACACTCTCACAAATCTTGGGAGACAGGC